TAATTTCTGCTATATAGCAAAGCGACTCGGTTATATATACGCACACACACACATATATATGTATTCTTTTTCATATTCTTTTCCATTATGGTTTATCACAGGATATTCAATATAGTTCCCTGTGCTATACAGTAGGATCTTGTTTATCCATCCTGTATATACTAGTTTGCGTCTGCTAATCCCAGACTCCAAGTCCTTCTCTCCTCCACTCTGCTTCCCCCATGGCAACCACACATCTGTTCTATGTGAGTCTGTTATTCTTTCATGGATATGTTCATTTGTATTGTATTTTAGATTCCACATATAAGTGATATCATATGGTATTCGTCTTTCTCTTTCTGACTTACTTTGCTTAGTGTGATGAACTCTATTTGTATCCATGTTGCTGAAAATGACATTTTAATAGCTGAGTAATATTCCATTGTGTGTATGTACCACATCTCCTTTATCCATTTATCTGTTGATGGACATTTAGGTTATTTCTATGTCTTGGCTATTATAAATAGTGCTGCTGTGAACACTGGCGTGCATGTGTCTTTTCAAATGATAGTTTTCTATCGGTGTATGCCCAGGAGTGGGATTGGCACATCATGTGGCAACTCTATTTTTAGTTTGTTTTTTGAGGAACCTCCATACTGTTTTACATAGTGACTGTGCCAGTTTACATTCCTACCCACAGTGTACTCAGGTTCCCTTTTCTCCACATCCTCTCCAGCATTTATTATTTGCAGACTTTTTAATGATGACCATTCTGACTGGTGTGGGGTGATACCTTATTGTAGTTTTGATTCTCATTTCTCTAATAATTAATGATGATGAGCGTCTTTTCATGTGCCTAATGGCCATCTATATGTCTTTTTTTTTGAGCAATGTCTATTTAGATCTTCTGCCCATTTTTTGATTAGGTTGTTTGTGTTTTTTTGTTATTAAATTGTAGGAGCTATTTGTATATTTTGGAAGTTAAGCCCTTATCGGTTACATCATTTGCAGATATTTTCTCCCAGTCCTGAAGTTGTCTTTTTGTTTTGTTTATGGTTTACTGTGCAAAAGCTTGTAAGTTTGATTAGGTCCCATTTATTTATTTTTGCTTTTATTTCTATTGCCTTGGGAGACTGACCTCAGAAAACATTGGTATGATTTTTGTCAGAGAATGTTCTGCCTATGTGCTCTTTTAGGAATCTTATGATGTCTTATATTTAAGTCTTTAAGCCATTTTTGAATTAATCTTTGTGTGTGGTGTGAGGGAGTGTTATATTTTCATTGATTTATATGTGACTGTCTGACTTTCCCAGCACCACTTGCTGAAGAGGCGGTCTTTTCCCCCCTGTGCATTCTTGCCTCCTTTGTTGAAGGTTAATTGCCCATGGGTGTGTGGGTTTATTTCTGGGCTCTCTTTTGTTCCATTGATCCATAGGTCTCTTTTTGTGCCAATACCATGCTGTTTTGATTACTGTAGCTTTGAAGTATTATCTGAAGTCTGGGAGGGTTTTGCTTCCTGCTTTGTTCGTATTCCTCAAGGTTGCCTTTGCAGAACTGGGTCTTTTATGGTTCCATTTAAATTTTTAAGATTATTCTAGTTCTGTGAAAAATGTCATGGGTATTTTGATAGGTATTGCTTTAAGTCTGTGGGTTTTGGGTTGTATAGGCCTGGGAACATTTTGCTGGTGGGATTGCAGGAAGCATGAGGAATGGTGAAGAAATAATACCTTACAAGCAAATATGGTTGCATGACCAAATGAATGGACTCCACCATTGTCTGGGCCCCACAGCAGTAGATCTCGGAGCCCTGGCCTGCTTTCTTTTTCAAAGAATGCTCTGACCAGTTCAAAGCTCATCTTCCCTGGAACCAGCAGAACCCCAAATCCCCACCTCAGTTTCATCCTTACCCGTTCTTAATGCCAGCTCCTGTCTGTGCAAGGCTTGCATTTTACTTTTCATTCCAAAGCAGTCTCTTGCCAGACTGCCAGAGAATTCAGTTTGCCATTCCACTCAGCAGCAGTTTCGAGAGAGAGTTTGTTGTCTGTAGACTTCCTACCCCGTGTCATGAACCTGTCTTCTAGGAAGGACGGCTGTGGTAGTGGGTGTGTGAAGACTTTTCTTTATGGAAAAGTTTAGCTTTCACTTAGTCATTCCATATTTAATCACACCTCCCACATGCCAGGCACTGTGCTCGGATGAGTCAGACCCAGACCCTGGCCTTCCCAGAGTCAGATTGGGAGAGTAAGGGGTGAATCCAGGGTCCCTGTTCTAACCAGGAAGCCCAGGTGTTGGTGTGGGGGGGTGATGTTTAAGAAGGCAGGGTTGGGAGGTAAGGCACGAGGAGGTCTTTTGTTTATGGAGGGGGAAGCCAGTAGTCTCGGAGTTTTTTTCTTTTTTACATTTTAAAATTTTATTTGTTTGTGCCAGGTATTAGTTGTGGCACGTGGGATCTTTGATCTTCATTGTGGGCATGTGGGATCTAGTTCCCTGACCAGGGATCAGACCTGGGCCCCCTGTATTGGGAGAACAAAGTCTTAGCTGCTGGACTACCAGAGAAGACCTCAGAAATTTTACTAATGTGTTTCTGGTTACACTTTAAAGAAGGAGTATGGCAGAACCCTGAGTTAGGCAAAGAAGCATCCCACCCAACCGTGTCTGGAAGCCAAGTTAAGCTGGGGTGGGTTTGGGGGGAGTCTGATGGATGTTTTGTGGGAATCCTGCTCTAGGGATCCCTGCCAAGGAGCTGCCCATTAGAACTCCTTAGAGCAGCCTCTCTTGTACGTTCCGTGGGAAACTAGACTTGGGGTGCCTCCACAGAAAGGGTCCCTGTCCTTGTCTGTGGGTGTCTGCATAGGGAATGTCTCCTGCCCTCATCGAAGGTTAACAGTGACATCACAGCAAAGGCGGGAGAAGCCCTTTCAGTAAGGAAACGTCTAGATGTGTGTCCCGCATTTTTCTAACACTTTGCGTGTCCAGTCAAGTTGTGGTGTGTGGGTGAGTGTCCATCAACCATCGCCTCTGCTTTCACCCTCTCCACCTCTCTGGGCTGTTTAGGTTTTAGTTTTGGTTTCAGACTTGCTTGTTCGCGTCAGTCGAGCGCCGCCTGTCGACTGTTGAGGTATTACAGAAGCCTGGGGTGATGGGTGATAGCCGTTGGACATAAGGAGTGAACATCCCTACGGCAGGAAGAGGCAGACATCCAGCAGTTTGGGGGGGAAGAAGATGAGAACCTGAAAGTTACTTTATCAGAGTGGGTTTCTAGCCTCCAGGGTCTGACCTCTCTCTGAATCTTCCCACCCGTTTCATGGTAAGTAATTGAAGAGGTCGGTGTCATCTGACTTCTCTAAGACGCTCTTATTATGCTCACATCAGCCACTACGTCTTACGTAACAAAGCAGGAGTAAGGGTGGGTTTATATTTAAGCCTGCTGGTTAGTTTTGTGGGTTTTTTTTTTTTTTAATTTTCTTTAGGGTTACCTCTGCTGTGTGTCTTAAGAATGTGGCTGCGTGTGTGTACATTTAGTCTTTCTTGAAACACTCTGGAGGCAGTGGTATTATTGTGATTTTACCCAGGAAACTGACATGTCAGAGTTCGTGGCTTTAATAGTTCACTTCTAGTATGCAGTTGCACCACAGAGACTCAGAAACACCAGGCTGCTGGCTGTTGAATGTGGGTGACAGCTGAGGTTGAAGTGTCTTTGGACTGGGGGAGCAGGGGCAGAAAGGCATGTGACTGGCGTGAAGCCCCTGACCCTTTGAGCTGAGGCTGCTGCTGTCTATCTGTCCCTCCAGTTCTCAGAGGACTTGCTGTGATGTTTTCTCTGTGCGAGTCTCAGCCTTCTCTCCTACAATCCATAGCCTGTCCCAGTGCTGGGTTGGAGGATGGGGCATGAGATTTGCCAGGGGCTTCTGATGAAGAAACCAGGTGTTCAGGTTTGGGGAGTGTTTATTACTTAGGCGCTCTCTTTGAAGACCCCAGCTGTTGTGACTCCTGGCACATCTCTGCTTGTCACATGGCCTCTCTGAGTAGCTTTGGAGAAGGGAGCAGGGCTGTGGCCTGCAGTGATGTAGAACTCACAGAACCCCCTTTGGTACGGACCGGAAAGAGTGCCTTGCCCATCTTAGCCATCTGGAGAGGGGAAGCCCTATGCCAGCGGCTCAGAGGTGGCTCCTGGCACAGCCCATGGAAAACTAAACCATCTGAGCCGGCTGTACCACCAGGGAGCGTTCCTTGCCTGCCATTAGCTTTGTTGGCAAAGGCCCTTTAACTCATTCAGTGAAGAATTATTACACGAGCTCCTGCTCTGTGCCAAGTTCGGTGCTGGGTGGTTAGGGTGAGAATACTGGAAGGGCCCTCCCCTGAGAAGCTGCAGTCTGGTGGCCGGAGGTGTGGAGACACATTGCCGTATGGGGAGTGGATGAGTGTGTTGTTGAGGTGTGAACAGCACTCAGAGATCCTGAAGGGACTGGCAGCATCCTGGGAGAGGCCAGTGCCGGCTCGGAGGAGATGGTGTCTGAGCATCATTTGGAAGGATGAGCAGCTGGCCATGGGCGGAGGGAGCTCCGTGAAGAGTGGGGCCCTTGAGGCAGGAGAGGGCCCTGCGGGTTCCAGGGCCAGTGGGACATTTGTGCGCCTGGATTGTCGGTGCCTCCTGAGGACTGGTGGCCGAGAGCAGGTTCAAGGAGCCTGGCTTTCCTTCAGTGGTCAGCAGATTTCTTTTTTCCTCCCCCCAACTTTGTTGAAATAAAATTGACATGTGACATTAAGTTTAAGGTGTACAACATGGTGATTTGATACACATATAAGGCAAAATCCACAGATTTTTAGCTTTTAATTGTGGAAAAATTTGAAGATATGCAAAAGTCGACAAAATGGGATAGTGAAAGTGACTGTATATCCTATTGAGCCTAGCCTGTGACTTGCACGGATTAATCCAGAATTTTGAGGCTTGGGATGGTAGAGTGGCACATTTAATTGTCAGAGAAACCACTGAGTGTCCCCCTCCTCATTTTACCTTTCAGTGGGAAGTTGGTGTCTCCGAAGTGGAAGAATTTCAAGGGCCTGAAGCTCCAGTGGAGAGACAAGATCCGGCTCAACAACGCCATCTGGCGGGCCTGGTACATGCAGTGTGAGTGTCTTGTCGCTGGACCAACGATCCTGCAGGTTCTGCCACCGAGAGGCGTGTGCACCTTGGGGCACGGAGCCCAGTCTTGGAACCTTGTGTGTCAAACAGAAGTCTCTCTCGGACAGTCTGTGGAGAGAGGAGAACCAAACCAAATCCAAGCGTCCACAGGAGGCTCAGTGTTGTAAGGCAGAGGAGAAGGGATGGGTGTACAGCTGAGGGGTGACATTCAGAGAGTCGAGGAACAGTCCCCATTTTCAGCGGGTCTGAGAAGGTGCAGGCCTGGGCATGGCCTGTGTCCGGCTGGCGTGGGTGCTGGGGGGTCTGGTGATTCCTGCAGGTGACTGGCATGCTGGGGGTCCCCTAGGCTCAGGCTGGTGTTTCCTCTTGATCAGGCAGACTCCCTTTCTCACCCTCACATCACTGAGAGAGAGTTTTCCTTTGACCTGGACCCTTTATTTCCCCGAATCTTATTTTCCAAGAGAAGGAGGACACTTCAGGATCCTCCCGAGGGGCAGGGCTCCTCAGTGACAGTGTCCCACCCTCTCCCCGCCCAGATTTGGAGAAGCGCAAGAACCCCGTGTGCCACTTTGTCACTCCACTGGACGGCTCTGTGGATGTGGACGAGCACCGCCGTCCAGAGGTACTTGGCAGGTGATGGGCCCTCACTCGGGAGAAGGAGGTGACTCACGGGGACGGGCCCGAGGGCTGGACCCCACAGAGGAAGGCTGCGGGGCAGAGCCCTTGGGATGCTCTGACCTGGTGGCTGTCACACTGTGAGCTGTGATGGCGACGTAGAGGCACGTGGCCCCGGCACCCTGCAGAGGCTCCCCCTTCTCAGGCCAGGCTGCTCCAAGGACTTGGGGCTTCCTCCAAACAAGACTTACCCTCTGCTTTCCTTTAATGTCGGTGCTTCTCTGGAGGTCAGCTGGGGAGGTGGTGGGGGGACAAGGCAGACATCTTTAGCCAGTCTTTATATACTGCGAGGGAAAGATGGTGAAGACATAGTAAATGAAAAGAAGCAAGTTGCCCAACAGTATTTTAGTATCTTTAGGTTAATTTTTTGCCGCATGTATCTGTGTGATTATACATGCATAGGAAATGTCCCAAAGGATATACAGAACTCTTACTTGTGGGATTAGTGTGAGGAGAGAAGACTCCACTTTCACTTTCTACTCTTCTGTATTGTTTTAGTTTCATCCAAGCTTGTCTTACTGTTATGATGAAAAGGGAAAATTTGAAAAGTAACCTAACACAAGACAGCTTGGAGCCAAGGGACACGATCTGGTATCAGACAGTAATAAAGAATCTCGTCACTTTTCAGGTCTGGTAATAGTATTGTATTAGTCACTGTGGAGATTCTTCACTGTCTGAGACACACAGTGAAATATTTTAGGTGAAATTATATGACACTTATGATAGGATGACTGGGACTTGCTTTAATATTCTGCAGCCATCAAAAGAAAGGAATGTGAAAGTGAGGTGGTCTCTCTGAGGCTGTCATGATCCTTGGTCACCAGAATTCAGAGATAACCATGGAAGGGGCTCCCACCCTGCATGGTGGGGAGGTTGAGCTGGACCTTGGAGGTCACTTTCTGCCTGAACCTTCTGTGACTGGCTGTTTGTTTTCACCCTTTGGAAATGTGGCAGAGCCTCAGGGCATTTGAGAGCCAGCCAGTCTCTGGCGATTCCTCTAGCTCCGGGGTCTCTGCACTTCTGCCCTGCCGAGTACTTTGTCTGAGCCCTACTCCAGTCCAGCCTCCGGACCCTGGGCCCTCAAAGCCCCCTAGGTTATCTTTGAGGGGTAAGATAACCTAGTGAAAGCTCACCTTCACTCGGAGGCTGGGCATGGCCCAGCAGAGGCCAACACACCCTGTGGATGAAGCCGCAGGCAAGCGGCTAGTGACTCAGAGCTGGATTGCCCGGGCCTGACTTCTGGAGCCAGATGCTTGTTTGCTGGCAGGGTGAGCTCTGTGAATAAAACCCAACACCACCTCTTCCCTGTGCCCCGCGTCTCTCCCACAGGCCATCACCACAGAAGGAAAGTACTGGAAAAGCCGCATAGAGATCGTGATCCGGGAGTATCACAAGTGGAGAACCTACTTCAAGAAAAGGGTATCTGGAAACTTCCCTGGTGGTCCAGTGGCTAAGACACAGTGCTCCCCAGGCAGGAGACCTGGGTTCAATCCCTGGTCAGGGAACCATATAGATTCTACATGCCACAACTAAGACTTGGTGCAGCCAAATACATTTGAAAAGGACTTCCAGCCCATATTTACTCAGTACACTGACCCCTGAGGCTCTGGCTCAGAGCTGTCAACCCATTGCCCACCACCCTCCACCATTGCCCCTGAAGCCCCTTTCTAGCCCAGCCCAAGTGGTGACCTGCATTGGCTGTGTGACTTTTGTTCTGTCTGTCCAGCTTGGAGCTGAGGCTGTTTATTCCACAAACGCTGGTCAGGAATCTCGGAGCCCAGCTTCGGCCTGGGGATGGCAGGGGTAGGATCTTTCTTGCCACCTTCCTTCTAGAGAGAGAAGGTCTAGATGCTTCTGAAAGTGATCCTCTTCCAGGGAAGAGAGGCTGAGGGCCTTGTCCCCTCTCTGGGCCTTGGGGGACCACCTTGTCCCTCTCTCCTTTCTCCGCAGCTCCAGCAGCACAAGGATGAGGACCTTTCCAGCCTGGCCCAGGTAAGCGAGGGTGGGGGCCATGAGGACCCTCACGGGACCTCCCCCTTTACAAGAAACAGCAGTGACATGGGTGGCCAGCACCACAGCAGAATGTGGTGGGGACATGGACTCTCCCTGGGGCCAGAAGAGGGACATAAAGGAAAGAAGCCAGTTCTCTGCAGGTCCCTGTCCCCTGGCCTCATCTCTTACCTGGCAGCCCTTGCTGCTCTGAGAAACTGGGCCACATATCTCCTCAACGTGACTTGACAGAGAACTTGCGAGTCACTGGTGCCCATTTGGCTTTTCCTTCCCCCATTGGTGGTAGGATGATGACATGCTTTACTGGCACAAGCACCGGGATGGCTGGAAGACACCAGTCCCCATGGAGGAGGACACGCTGCTGGACACGGACATGCTCATGTCGGAATTCAGCGACACCCTCTTCTCCACACTCTCCTCCCACCCGCCCGTGGCCTGGCCCAATCCACGTGAAATAGGTAACCCGCCCCCAAGGGCGGCTCCTCCTTGCTGTGTGGGGGCCCCATCGGGCCCATGGTGCCCCTGCCAGGGAACAGTGGGGGGTTTGGTCTGAACGAACTTCACATTTCTGATCCTGTCCCCTCAGCTGAGGACATGGGCCTGGGCCAGTGCCAGGGCCTGAGACTCACTCTTGAGAAAATCATTTGCACTCCAATCATTTGGCCTCTCACCTGGGAGCATGCAGCTATCCAGTTAACCCTCCAGGAGGAGCCCACGGACTTAAGTCAGCACCGAGGGGTCTCTGCAGAGCTGTTCACAGTGGAGTGTCTGCTTCCAGATACTCATTTTACCTTTTCCCCTGAAAACTCACTTCCTTCCCCACCCTCTGAGGGTGGAAAATGCCCATGAACCCCCCAGAGAAATCCTAGCCAGTGGCCCACGTTCCCCCTGTTCCCAGGAGAATGCAAGCAGGGCCAGGAGGATCCAGTCTGGGCCCCTGACACACTCCCACAGCGTGGACTGGGAAGGCAAAACGGTCCCCGTCTCCTCTTATGCTCACAGCGCACCTGGGGAACGCGGACATGATTCAACCTGGCCTGATCCCTTTGCAGCCCAACCTGGACTTCATGGACACCTTCGAGCCCTTCCAGGGTGAGGACTTGGGGCAGAGAGAGAGCTTGGCTACCCGCGTCTCCCTTTGCCCAGGACAGAGTAGATTGGGCTTCCCTTTCATAGAGGGGAACTGTTAGAATGGGCCAGGGAGAGGACTTAGAATTCGTCCAAAACTTTCTTTTTTTTTTGTTTGGTAGTAGCTACAGGCCTGGACAGTGTTTCTCATCCTCCACGTCCCAGAGCCTCAGGTTTGGCCTTGACTGCAAGCAGTTCTCCCTCTAGGCAGCAGAGGGCGCTGGTGACACAGCTGCTGCCTTGCAGTTTCCTGCTGTTAGAAATGATCCTTGAGCTCCCACCATCATTAAATGCAGGTGCCACCGAGGCCTAGGGGTGTTTCAGAGCCCACACTGGTTGCCAGCATGTACAACTCCAATCAGAGGGCCTGTTTCAGCAGAGTTCCCTCAGTGGGGGTGGAGTTGTGCCCTCTGGCCTTGGCATTCCTCTGGGTAAGGTGGGGTTCAGTGCCCAGTTTGTTTGGATCTTAATTCAGTGAAATGACAGGCACAGAGCTCACAGGCCCCCGATGTTGTCTTTCAGACCTTTTCTCTTCCAGCCGCTCCATTTTTGGTTCCATGCTGCCTGCACCCGCCTCAACGCCTGCACCAGACCCCAACAGCCCACCTGCTCAGGTAGAGGGAACTTGGGGAAAGGGAAAGGGCACCGGGCTTCCAGTCATCAGACCTCTGCAGTGAAGTGCTAGGGGTCACTCAATCCGGTGCTGGACTCACATATAACGTGTAAAGAAGTTATTCTAGCCCTCCTAGAGAGCATCCGGAGGTGTCCATGAGGTGGGAGACTCTCTCAGTAAATGTATGCTCCCCGCTAAGGCCCCAGGTAACCTGTGTGTGGCGAGCTTCATCTTGACCAGTTAAGAAAGGACCAGTGAAATTATCTTTCAATTAAAAATAAATAATTTTTTTTGGAAAAGAAAGGACCAGTGAGATAGCAAAGAAAAATGTGGTTGCTGAGAAATTCCTTGTATTCCTTTTCCTTTTTGCTACGCACTCAGCACAAGTTGGCTGCCAGGTGCTGGGGCCGCTGAGCTGAGGGAGGCACGGCTCCTTGCCCTTAAGAGACTCTCAGTTAGTATCCAGTTAGTGTGCCCTGGCCCCTGCTTCTTCCATCTGGCTTGGGGAAGAGCTGCTTCTATAGTGACTAAGACCCGAACAATTGATTCCTTATAGCCTTTCCCTTTTAGGAGGAGGTGACCTCCCTAGAAGTTGATACGAGACAGTGTCCTGGGGGAGCCTCCTGAGCAGCTGCGAGCCAGGCTGCCCCTACTCTGTAACAGAAGATGGCAGGGACTTTGGGGGGACCCCTCCGGACTCCAGAAACAGGATATCCCCAGGCTGTGAGCCAAGTGTGTGCAGACAGTCACTGTGTCTGAGCCCTGTGTTATCACTGAGTCCCCAAAGGAAACAAGACCCCTGCTGGCACCCGGGGGGATCCAGCTCCATCTCCCCCAGATTAGGAGTCCTGGGGCTGGGAGACGTTGCCTCTGTCCCTTCTGCCCGGGGCTGCGTCCTAGGCGCACGGTGTACGTGTTGGGCTCCGTGGCGTGTAGCGCTGGAGAGTGGCGGCGAGCTGTGTGACTTTAGCATTCATTGCTCACTTCTTCCCTTCCTTCCTCAGGAGAGCATCCTGCCAACCACCGCTCTCCCCACTGCAAGCCTTCCCGACAGCTTCATCGCACCCCCCGCAGCCGCTGCCCTAGACCCCACGAGTGGGCAGGGCTGTGAACACCCGCCCCAACCTGGGGACCCCTTCATTCAGCCGGCAGACCTGGGTCCCTCGGCACCGCCCCTGAGCGTCCCCCAGCCTTTCCTGCCCGTGTTCACCATGCCCTTGCTCTCGCCCAGCCCCGCCCCGCCACCTCCTTCCCCCGTCTTGCCGTTAGGCCCCCCTCCCGCCACTGCCCTGAACCCCCCAACTCCCCCCGCCTTCCTGCAGCCCCAGAAGTTTGCTGAAGTCAGCAAGTCGCCCTCCGTCATCACCCACACAGCCTCCGCCACCCTCACCCACGACGCTGCCGCCACCACCTTCAGCCAGAGCCAGGGCCTCATTATCACCACGCGCTATCCGCCCCCCTCTGGGTCCCCCTATGGCCTGGCACTGTCTCCTGTCACCCGGCCGCCAACCGCCGGGCCTCCCCAACCCCGTATGACTTTCGTGCATCCCAAGCCCGTCTCCTTGTCTGGGGGGAGGCACAAGCAGCCCCCCAAAATAGTGCCTGCTCCCAAACCAGAGCCAGTGTCCGTGGTGTTGAAGAATGCTTGCCTCGCCCCAGGTGAGCCAGGTGCGCGGGAGGCAAGTGTGACCCCCCACCCCCACCCCCGGGACGTTTCCTGTCCCCAAGGCTGGCAAGCTCGTGACACACACACATCGTGATCTTGGAAGCAGAAGGGTTGTGAAAGGCAATGTATGTAGATTGAGTCTGTTTTCTATTCTATGGTGTTCTTCCAGTCTCAGCCCAGCGTGGGAAAAAACGTATCCCTGGTCATCTCTTGCCTGGGTCTGTAATCTGTCCCCACCAAGGAGAAGTTGCAAAAATCTAGCATCGTCTCTCCATGCCCTACAGTGAGGGGGCAACGTCTCAGTGGCAGCAGAGGGGTCGTGTGCTGCTCCTAAGGCTCCCCGCCCCCCAGCCCCCATGCAGCCTGGCTGGTCCAGGTTCAGTACCCGTGTCAGGCAGCAGGCGCATAGCTGGGCCTCCACCCTCACCTCCCCTTGTTCTGGCAGCTGCCTTCCCAGGACAGCCGCAGGCAGTGATCATGACATCTGGCCCTCTGAAGAGAGAAGGAATGCTGGCTTCCACCGTGTCCCAGTCCAGCGTGGTCCTCACGCCTGCTGCCCTCACCAGGGTGAGTGGCCGGGACAGGCCTTCAACATCTTATGACCTCAGGTGGCCCTCACCTGGCCTAACTGTGCTCGGGGGTGACCTTCCTCCTCTGTGTCCCCTTAGGCTCCTGGAGTCACAGAGTTCCCCAGCGGCATCCTGGTGACGGACCTCGGCCCCGGCCCGGGCAGCCAGCACACCCCCGTGTCCCGGCTCTTCCCTCCCAGCACAGTGCCCGACTCCCTGGTGAAGGGTGAGCAGGGCCCACTGCACGGGGGCATTGCCCAGGTCCCTGCTGCGGGCGCCAGTGACTCAGCTCTCCGCTTGGACCGCTTGGGACCGCGTGAGTGGAGTAGGGGGCCTGCTGCGGGACTGGGGAGGCTGCTGAGGGTACCCGGGCGGAGCCTGGGCTGCCAGGCCAAGCAGTGAGGGATCCGAAGCTGCCAGTGCCCCAGGCTAAGCACAGGATCAGTGAGGGAAAGCCACCAGCGCCTTGTGGTTCCAGCAGCTTGTGTGCTCACGGGGACACTGCTCAGCCTCCTTCAAAAGGGCCTGGCTCTGATGGGGACGTCCCTGGTCATCCGGGGGTCAAGACTGCTCTGCCACTGCAGAGAGTATTCATTCAATCCCTGGTCAGGGAACTAAGATCCTACATGTCGTGCAATGTGGCCAAAAAAGGTTTTAAAAAATAAAAAAGAAAGACCTGGCCGTGAGCTGCCAGTCCTGATCCACAAAAGGGATTGAGCAGTCATCAACAGTTTTCAGAAACTGCGAGCCTGCGGTTGCTGTGGCTGCGGGAGCCCCCAGCCTGTCTGGGTTTGGCTGGTTGTCCCTGGCCCGTGTGCTGGCAGCATACCTCAGGAGTACCCTTCCTTCCTCCCCGGCCTGGACTTCGGTTGGTGAGACGGCTGGGGTAGGACTGATGTTGCCCAGTGAGGTCTGAGAGGTCTGGGAAATGATGTTCCTAAGACTGCTGCTGGTGGGGGCGGGTGGGGCGTTGGGGAGGGGTGGAGCCAGATACCACCTTGGGAAGGGAGACCAGAGTGTCTTCCTGTCTTAGATAAAACCAGGGCAGCTGCTCCCAGAGCCCTCTGCAGAAGCATCTTTCTGAAGTGGAGAGAACATGATGAGAGGGGAGCTAGCTCTCTGCTTATAGGGGTCAGACAGGGACTCGTCCAAGGACAGGTTTTAAAGAATAAGGACTCTCGTGTGGGAAAATATAGACACGGACTGGCTATCGATTGGGCCCTGAAATGCCACGTGGGGCCTTGGGGAGACGTTGCCTCGTCCACTGAGGCGGATCCCCAAAGGTGAGAGCCATGCTGGGAGGCCTGAGAGCAGGGCAGGGAGGAGAGCAGTGTCGGGGGACAGCCTCAGGCATCCGTGGTCCATGCTGGGAGGCGGGCCTGGAAGGGGCTTCTTGGGCGCAGTTCCTGAGCCGGGGCCACACGTTTCCTCCACCGAGTTCATTTGTTTTCCTAGTTAAAAGATTTCTGGGGTGGGTAAAATTGAAGGAAGTATAAAAAAACACACATGTAGAGTTCAAAGAACAGATAGCTTAAGTGCTTGCCACCCAGGGTGAGCACCAGAGCTGTGCAGACGTGGAGGGGCCCCTGGTGCCCTGGGAGGCGGGCCTCTCTCCTCTCCCAGACCTGTGACCGCTGCACCGGCAGGCCTAGCCAGGACCGCCCCGCTGCCCCCTGCCCCGAGATGCTGGCAAGGATTCGCCTAGTTCTTGCTCTGGGCTGCCATGGGAGGTCAAGGGCGGGTTTCCCTTTGTGGGTGAGTCCCCGCGCTGCTGGCACAGCCTGGCCCCTAAGGGGAATCTCTGCTCTTCCCAGGTCGGGACTGCCCGAACTCTGGGCAGGCTTCTCCATGCGCGTCTGAGCAGAGTCCCAGTCCTCAGTCCCCCCAGAACAACTGCTCAGGGAAATCGCCTGCAGACCCCAAAAACGTGGCTGTTTTAAAGGTATCTCTCGGGTCTTGATTCCCTCAGAAGGCTGGGGAGGCAGGGAGAAGTGTATCCAGGGGCCATGGGGACAACTGTGTCCCTACTGGAGACATGCTGGGAAGACCCATGGGCTTGACAGGTGTCCCACACCTGAAATGGGGACATTCACCGCCTTGCCCTTGAGCATGTTGGCTCCTCCCCGCACCACCTGCCCCCAGCCCTGTGGTGACAGTGGCCCCGAGCTCTGTGGAGCGGGGGTGGCAGCTGTCACAACTGGGTCTGAGGTGTGGGGGTGGCCGGAAAGGGCTGGATCTGTAGCGCCAGGCCCTTGGCTATGCTCTGTTCTGTAGGGATGGTTCTCTGGCCCCCTCTTGTCCCCTCCTGGCTCCTCCTGGAGCCTCTTAGCTTCCTCTTGCCCCCTCCTTCCACATAGCTCTCTATAGAGAATCTGAGCAGCGGGTAGGGATGGGGAGGGGGGCCCTGTGGCGCAGTGATGGGCCGATTCCCCAGCAGAACCGGCAGATGAAGCACATCTCAGCCGAGCAGAAGAGGCGCTTCAACATCAAGATGGGCTTCGACACCCTGAACAGCTTGATCTCCAACAACACCAAGCTGGTGAGTGGCTGTGGGGGTTGGGGGAGAGGGTGGGTTGGGGCGGGACCGACAGGATGGGCACTTGGGGGCGCCTGGTGTGCTGTGCACCCTGACCCAGCCCCCTCGCAGGCCAGCCACGCCATCACGCTGCAGAAGACTGTGGAGTACATCACCAAGCTGCAGCAGGAGCGCAGTCAGATGCAGGAGGAGGCCCGGCGGCTGCGTGAGGAGATTGAGGAGCTCAATGCCACCATCCTGTGAGGCTGGGCCTGAGGGCAGAGGTGGGGGCTGGGGGTTGGGGGGTGCAGCTCATCCTACCCCGAATGGCAGGGAGGGAGGGTGGGGGGACTGGTAGAGGTCCCCTTACTTGGCACTGCAGCTTTTGTCCTCCCCCCCAATCTTGGGCCTGCCTGCTGGGCCCCCAGCCCTGCCGAGCTCCCCTGACTTCCTGTCGTTTCAGCTCCTGCCAGCAGCTGCTCCCTGCCACAGGTGTCCCCGTCACCCGGCGCCAGTTTGATCACATGCGAGACATGTTTGACGAATATGTGAAAAGCCGGACCCTGCAGAATTGGAAGTTCTGGATTGTATCTTTGGGTTTTCTTTGCTCATTCCCCCCATCCCTCCAACCCGTGACCTGAAACAGCAGACACTGACCCTTGGGTTCCTTTAGAAAGAGGCTCTCTAAATGGTCGTCATTGAGTTTGTCAAGACAGGTAATGCTAGTTTCTGTCTCAAGAGAGACAGGGGCCCGGCTAGGCCCGCAGTGTTGGAGGGGGCTGTCCTCAGTGAGTTTACTGGCTGAGGGCTTCCCGGGGACATGGAACCAGCCTGCTTTGCGCTGCCGAGTCCTTGAGAAGGGAAGAGGAGGCTGGAGCTGCTGGTGGGAGCCGTGAGGTGGGCAGGAGGTGGGATCTGCTCTGACATGTCCCAGCATCAGCTACGTCCTGCTACCCAAAACTGGGACTCACAGAGCGACTGTGTGGCAGAGCCTGGATTTGAAGCTGGTTCCCTCCAGGCTGTTCCCTGGGTTTATACCGCATGCCCTTGACAGCTGTTACCGAGGCAGGGATGCCTGGGTGCTGGGCTCTGGCCCTGGGGCCCAGGCCTCCCAGCACTTGGCCTTCCAAATGGCAGCACAGTCCTTACGGGGGTTGGCTCTGGCCCTGTCAGTCCCCACTCAGCCTCCGCTGTGCCCCTGAGTGGACAGGGCGCACATGCAGAGTCGGCCGCCGCACCCCCGGCCGTGGGTCTGACAGGCTGAGGAGGGATTCACGGGGGAGGAGAGCTGCGAGGGCGGGGGGCGTCCGTGTGCACCCCTGGGTGGGTTCTACAGGAGGAGGTGGCAGACAGCAGCTGCAGTCCGCTGTTCTCTGGTCCCCGAGTGGAGCGGGGACAAGTTGGAACCTCTGTGGTCAGTGTCAGGTTCCTCAGCATCAGGCTGGGCGCAGGGACGGTTAGGGACATCGCTCCCCAGCTGTGCACAGCACCCTGCCAGTCCCAAGGGGTGTCGGTCATGGGCACGCCTGTGACGACTCCGCTCTCTCTGCGCTCGCTTACGGTTTCTTTAACCTGAGTGCTGTGCAGTTCAGCGTCATCATCAAGCCGCTGTTCGAGTCCTTCCAGGGCGTGGTGTCCACCAGCAGCCTGGACGAGCTGCACCGGACGGCGCTGTCCTGGCTGGACGAGCACTGCTCCCTGCCCGTCCTCAGGCCGAGTGAGTGGGGGCTGCCCGCGGGGGGCTTAACCACGGACGCAGCTGCAGAAAACCCAGGCCCCGCCGTGGTTGGTCCGCACACACCAGGGGCAGGAGGGTGAGGCCCTGCAGGAGGGAGGGGGGGGAGCTCGCCTCGGCCTTCTGCCATCTCCGTGTGTCTGTCTGATGATCAGATCCAACTCGTGTCTACTGAGCACCTACTCTTCACCTGGCCTTGTATCCGGTGTTTTCAGATACACTTTCATGTTCAGTTCTTCTAATAAGGATCAAAGCTGTGTATTCAGGTCACAGGAACAAGCAGGAACGGCTCAGGGTGTTCCCCACTCTCCTGTGGGGTGGCAGATAGGATTGGGGCATCATCCTAAAGGCAGAGGTGTGAGTGTCCAGACCTCAGCAGAGGGGCTCCCCTGGGGTTCGTGCCCTTCCTGCTTTGGGGGGCCCTGAGGATCGCCCCTCAGGGTGCACATGTGTAACGGTGTGTTTTGTCTCTCGGGGGCTCAGAGCTGAACCTCCCCGGGCCACGTCTGCAGGCTCCCCCTTCTCTCTTGCAGCCGTGCTGAACACTCTCCGGCACCTGAGCACCACCACGTCCATCCTGACAGACCCGTCCCAGCTGCCCGAGCAGGCAGCCGAGGCCGTCACCAGAATCAGCCAGAGAGCTGGGGAGTCCTAGCAGCGCTTGGTGGGCACGCAGCCGCATGGGATGCCAAGGAGACCCTTCTCCGCCTGTGGAGAGGAGGCCGCGCCATCACCTCTCCCGCTTGAGGGCCTCCTAGCCTCCCTGCAACTGTGGCCTCGGCTGCTCCAAATGCCGCGCTCAGGTCTGAAGCAGGTTTGGGTCTTGCTAACAGCAATAGCCCAGCTCTGGGAACCCCTTGCTGTGAACTCTGACTCAGCGACCTCAGTCACTGACCCCTCGCCTCAGAGAAGCTCGGATGAAGGGAAACAAGGGAACACTGCCCCTCCCTGTCCTGTCCTGCTGGTGGGGTGTCGGGGGGATGGGGAGAGGGGCCGCGGCAGCAGTGCAGGGAGCCGACGGGGCAGGTGGAGGCCTTGCCCGCTCCCCAAGTTAGGACGCGTGAGGGTCCTTCCCAGCTGCTGTCTGGGACGTGCCCTCCTGTCACGTCTCGGGCACCCCTGGGCTGTTGGAAGGCCTCCTGCTTCCTCCCCTGGCTCTGACCTAGTAGAGCGGATGTCGGCTCGGGCTTCGCAGGGCCGGGAAACCCTACAACACATGTGTGCAAAGCAGTGGGCCTGTGTGCCCCAGAGGGTAACGGCAGCCCCAGGGAAGCGGTGCTGCTTCAGTCTTGGAGGTCCCCTGGGCGGTGCTCTGGTCTGTTTCTCAAGTGTTTCTGTTTCTACTTGGCGTTGCGGCAGTCATGGTGGCGCCGACCTGGGAATCACATGGCAGGGGCTCAGCCAGGCCCTGCCCCCTTGTGCCCTGCCTGCTTCCAAGCCATGAACAGCTGTGCTTGATGGACACCGCTAGCCCTGTGGGTGCAGTGTGTGAAACAACAGGCTCTGTGGTGCTGCCATCGACCAGGTCCCCTCACCTGGATTGTCCAGCTGGGAGCCCCAGCCCATCCATCCCAGCTCCTGGACCAAAGACGCCAACACCCCGGCATCTGCTGTGTCTTGCGTTTGAAGGCAGAAATTGACCGGTCGACACGGAGCTCCAAGGTAGCTGCCTCGGAGCTGTCTCCAGGCAGCTCGGATCAGACAGACAGGAGCTGAATTCAGCTTTGGTCCAGGTGGAGGGCTGTGGGGGCGGCAGGCTGTTTCCAAAGGTGGGAGTTACACCTGGAAGGGTTCGGAGGAGGGGCCCGGGCCAATCCTCCTCTCGCTGCGTCTGCGGGAGCAGTTCCAGGCAGAAGGATGCTGTCTAACACTCAGGAAGCCCACCCAGGGCTACCTCCTCATTGAAAGAATGTGCTTTTCACGTCCTGCTGTGAAGTTCAGAGGCCGGCAGGCTTCCCCTTCAACCTCTGTCCTCCCTGCCAGGAGATGGAGACCTGCCTGAGTAAGGGGCAGGCCAGGAGTCCTGCTGGGCTTGGCAGAGCTGGGGCGGGGGCTGCTGTGGGCTGCCCGCTGAAGTTTGGATCCTTTTGGAGGCTCCCACTGGCTCCTGGAGACCTGTGGAAGGTGCCCCGGGGGCAGCCCCACCTCAGCTTCCGCTGCTGGAGGATGGAGGGCGGTCCTCCCCAGGGGGGCCAGCCGAGCCACTGCCTCCGCCCCAAGTTGCGACTGGTCACCCACTCCCTCATCTGTGCACCAGCCCCATCAGGAGCGCCCCGGCGGCCCCCTCTGCCTCCCCAGAACACGTGTTTACAGGTCCTCGGATGGCTCTCCTGAGGGGTGGGCACAAGACAGGCTGGGCCAGCCCTGCGTGTCCACTGGGAGGCGGGATGAGAGCGCAGCCTCCCCCGGGTGGACACGAGGTCTCCCTCCAAGAGGGAAGAGCACCGCGAGGCTTGAAAGGAAAAAAAAGGAAGATCAGAGACGTTCCCGGCCACGAGGGCTTGCAGAGGGTCCTGCTCTCAGCCTCGCCTCTGTTCCTGTGCCTTTGTCAACCGCGTGGGCGGCCGTGGAGCTCAGCCCAGCCACGACCTCTCTGAGATCAATAGCTTTCTCCCCACCCCATGTTGGGAGTCTTTTTTTTATTTTATTTTTTTAGCTCCATGGGATATAAAATTGGCCTCTTGCTTCTTTGGCCTACCTCTCCCGCCCTTTGGCTGACTTAATGTTCACGATTCTGTTTTTTTTAATATTTAAAGCTGTTAGGTTGTATGAGGCATTGAAGGGCGCGCGCGCGTGCGTGTTTGTGTGTGTGTCTGTGTGTGGGCGCACGCACGTGCGGGTGTGTCCCAGCAGAGGGTTAACTCGATGCATGTTTTGTTTTGAGATATTTACTTAAATCCATTTTTCTTGGTGCTCACCAGTATCACGGCTATAGGGCCACAAAGCTATGTCTCTTAGCACAGACACAATTGTTTCTTGCCCCGAAGTTTTCTTGTTTCGGAGTCTGACCCACTGAGTCTGGCCGGACGGGGCGGGGTGGGGGGTGGCCCTAGCTTTGACCCTTGTCCTGGGGTCCCCAGCCGGGGTGCGGGGACCCCCAGGGCCACTCTGCCAGCTGCCTCCAGTGAATGCTCTGATTTGTTTACACTCCCTTTCACCCCACCTCCTATCTCTTCTCCCGTAAAAGAGACTTAAAAACGCTGATTTTGGAGGATACGAAAATCAGTCTGAAAGAAAAAAAAAAAGTGTGCCTGGCACATAGTCTCTGAAAGTGTTTCTGTGAAATCTTTCTGTGCCATCAGCTCCCTTCCTACTGCTGGTTGCCCTTTGACGACGAGTGGGAAATGCAGGGAATGAGTGGGGCTTTCTGAAGTCGGCCAGCCTGTCCCTGCCTCCGTCTCAGGCAGATTACACACGAACCGGTCACCCCCCACACACACCCAGGAGGTCCCCGAGCCAGCAGGCCGGCGCTTTCCGGGGTCTTAGGAGCACAAGGGGAGTATTCCTATCATCAGGAGTCGGTGCTGATGTGAGCGCCGGTTCTCATGGGGGAGGGAGTGGTGGGGTGCCATGGGTGACCCCACACACCCAGCTCCCTCCGCTCTCTATCCTGGTGACCCGACCCCGCCTCCCTGACCAGACAGAGGTCCTCTAGGTTCTTTCACTCTGGCTACTAGAAAGAGAAAGTTCGATTCTGGGAGGACGTGGCACTGCAGGGTGGGGCCACTCCCTTGTCCCTCCCCAGGTGGAGGGGTGCAGTGATCTTACAGACCCCCTCACCAGGAGGGTGTGGTCCCAGACAGCACCCCTGTGTCTTCTTAGCCTGGGCCTCCCCTCTTTGCAAGCCTGTAGGAATCCTGAGTGGCAGGCCTGCTGTTATTGTCAAGGTGGTCACCGGTTTTCACGGCACAGCTAAATGAGGTCTTGTCAGGGTGGAGCTGGGATGGGGGCGGATTTCCGGGGGGCCCATCTGCACGGGGCCTCCTGCACACTTGTGCAGTGTGGACCTGACCCAGCGCTAGATGACCTGCCCCACTTGGGTTCTTTTATCTCGTCCAGTGGGCAGGCTTAGAACACTGCTCACTGGAGCAACTTTGCAAAGTGCCTCCCAGGTGGTGAGCTTGCTGAGGAAGGGAGCCGAGGAGCCCCAATGTGGGCACACGGGCAGCAATGGGCTGTGGTTTTTGGCTCTCTGTGCTCCACTGCCTCGTATCTTAAAAGAGGATTTTCACCTCATCTGAACATGAGCTGACAAGAGAGGAGAGCAAGTGTGGAGGGTGGAGGAGCTTGAACCTTCAACACATTGTACGTGTCAGTGGTTGCCATGGCCTTAACCACCTAGCAGACAGGTTTGGCGGTCGGAGGGGCTCCAGGAACAGAGAGAAGCCTTACGACCCCCCAGGTGCCTCCACACAGATCACCTGCCTGATTTTCTTTTCCTTCTAAGGGACTTGGCCTTCTCCGCTCACCATGCAGGGGGGCTGTTTTCTGTTGAGGCTTACGAAAAATCAGCCTTTGAGAAAGAAAAGGGAACTTTTCCTGTTGATTGTTGGCTTTGTGTGTGTGTGTACGTGTGTGTGCACAAGCCTGTGTGCGTGTGTGTGTACTCAATGGAATTCTATTTTTGTGAAATTTCTTTATGGTTATGTAGCAAAATTCACCTCCATCCCCTTTTAGTTTCAGAATCAACCCTGGGCCGCTCTTTTGAAGAATTCTCTCCTGGGTTTCTAAAATAGAGATGGGCCTCTCTCAAGGGCCGAGGTGGGGGAAAGGGTTGGGAGAAACTTAAGTCTGATGGCGTTTCCATTGAGTCGACATCCTGAAGCTACAAGTAGGAAGGGCTCCACCAGGGAGCCGCGATGCCCAGGCTGTGTTTCTCGCAAGGGAGGCAGACCGTGGCGCCCGGGGTCGCTTTATCTGAATCTGTTCACACCACTTGTTTCACTTGTGTAACGCCACGGCTGAAACAGCTCCTTCTTTTCCTTTCTCGGATTTCAGTTCACGGTGTAAGTGGTTCATTTTTTTTCTTTTTTCCATGTTGTGCTCTCTGGTGACTGTCAGGGCTCCCCACCCAGGAGACAAGTCACCCCTCGTGGGCAGAAAAAGCAAAACCCAAGAAGAGTGTTGTTCACCGCGGGCTCCCTCAGGCCTGCGCCACCCTGAGCTTGGCCCTTCACGCCCCACTGTCGAGACACACGGTTCCACCAGCTGTATCCAGCACTACAATGCATCCAAAACTATTTGCATCCGAGACAATAAAAAGCTGTATTTTTGGAAAAGCCTGTGGCATGTGGTCTTTGCTAGCTCGGTTGGAGCAGTGGAAGAGATGATGAAATGAGATGGGGCAGAGGGGTACCTGCGCCTGCCTCACTCGTGCTAGCTTTCCCAGGTGGACAGAGTCCAGAGGTACTTGAACAAAGTGCCCGTTTCCTCACTTGGCGCTTGGGCAAACAGCAGCCACCTGGAGTCTCTACAGGGTGGTCATCAGGGTCACGTGAAATCGTGAATGTCCAGCTCCCAGAAAGCACAGATTGCCACCAGCATGGCCAGCCCTAGGTCAGCACCCAGCGGGGTCTACGTCATGGTGATGCCCCAGGGGGCAAGGGCCTCTCTGCTGACTGTTGACATAATACCGTACACAGAAGATGCTGGAAAGTTGACCGGCAGAGATGTCCCTTTGTTGTGCTGAGGACTTTGATGATTTCTGCTTAATCTGAAAGCCCTTCTTTTTTGTCCTCCCATCTTCCTCTGCCCACACTCACCGTCCCCCCCCCAGTTCCTTGTGCCTGGGCAGCGTGACTCTTAAGATGAGCCGTGCCGGCCCCTTGGGCTGCCGGCCCCTCTCCAGAGCGGCTGTCTTGTTTCACTGAACAACTGTTCAGATCCGTATCTCTTGACTAAAATGCAGTGGGTTGATACGCAGGCTCTTGTCTGATCAAACCCCCACGCCTTCCCCGAGGAAAAACATCTTCATGACACAAAGCAAGATCTGGGGCCTTAAGAGTCGGGGGCCCCTGACAAATCGGTGAGTGGTTCATGGACTCCTTGGGGCGAGAAGGAACTTGGTTTCCGTTGAGATAATCAGTGGGTTCTTCTAGCTTTTTGAGTCTGGCCACATGTTAGGTCTGGAATCTCAAAAGATACTTGGGGCATAATTAGAAGAAGGGAGGCTTTGGATGTGGGGAAAGGAGGAACAGAGTGTCTCAAGGGAAGAGGCCAGGGTGCTGGAGCCTGCTTGCCTCAGTGTCAGGCACTGGGCCACCTCTAGGTAGTTCTCGAGTCAGTGGCGTGGTGTGCCTCATTTCACAGAGGAAGACATCAGTCATTTCTGAGACCCACGTGGTGGCCACGTGGGTCAAAGCTAGGAGGCTGGAGTTTTCATTTTTCATCCTCTAACAATGTCTGTATTTTATCCTCCATCCACTGAATCCAGGGGCTTATCTGTGCCATCCCCTCTCCTGCACCGAGGTCCTGTCTCACGTGTCCTCTGGAAGTCTTCCAAAGACACCATCTTCTTTCCAGCCCCACTGTCATCACCGACCACCCAAGTCCAAGTTGCCATCGTTCCTCAAGTTCACACGATGATGTCCTCTATCCCTTCTCTATCTTGTAGCCTCGACCTTACAGTCCATGGGAGCTTGAGGTGGTCCAAGGCCAGTCATGGCACTGACTCCTTCAAGGGCTTCCAGGGAAAGGTCAGTCCTCCACCCCTCTCTGTTGAGCCCGTCCTTCCTCTCCTTGCGTTTCCAATCTCATTTTTGCTCTTTTCCGTGCCTTGGGCAGGCCTGCTTGGTTTGGTTTGGTTTTTCTCTTCAGGTTTTCCCAAAGCCTCCTCCCTCTGCCCAAGACTTTTCCCATCTCCACCCCTCTTCTTGAATAGTTCCTGCTCTTTCTTCCAGTTTACTTATTTATTTTATTTTGGTTTGCTGAGTCTTCATTGTGGCATACAACCTTCTCTAGTTGTAGCATGCAAGCTTGGTTGATGCATGTGGGATCTTAGTTCCCCTTCCAGGGCTTGAACTCAGGCTTCCTGCATTGGGAGCTCAGAGCCTTAACCCCTGGACCACCAGGGAAGTCCCTCTTTCTTGCCAATATAATCCTTAAATGTCAGTTCTTCAGAAACCAGCCCTGATGTTCCTGCCCCCCTCCAACACACAGGTGCATGTGCGTTTTCACACACGTGAACACGTGAGCTTTCACACGTGTACACACATGCACACATCAAGTCAGACCTCAGACAACTGTATTTCCTCAGGATGCTGGTCATTACCGTGCATGTTCCCCGCCAGGTTTTGAGACCCGTCAGGACAAGGGGCCCACAGCCGCCACTGTGCCCAGCTCAGAACCAGCACAGCAGGTGCCCAGGGAACCTACCCAGTGACCCTCAGCCCCTCGCCCTTCCACCAACCCAGCTACCCCTTCCCCGACTCTGTGTCAGACAGGCAGAGGGTGTGGGGAGCCCGATGAGCTGGGGGTGGGGTGGGTGCAACCAGCAGATGCGGACATGTAGGTGTCCTGCAGGGTTCAGAGGTTGGCTACTACAAGTCTGTACTTAATATATAGCATCAACTTTAGTCATTTGGATTGTAAATGTGGTAAGAATAGTTTCCAAATGGCATTTGAGAGCACTTCGTCTTGGATTTGGACTCGATTCTATAGAACACAGTTTACCTTCTCAGTCGCTCTTTTCTGTATGTCAGATTCTGAATTTAGCCTTGTGTAGGCTGGTGTGGTTACACTCAATGTGTGCTTTTACCTTTTTATTTCAGAAAATCTCCAGCAAACACAGAAGTAGAGAGAACAGTACAATGAACCCCCATGTACCCAACCATCTACTTTAAAAGATGACTGACTCAGGGCCGGTTTTCTTTGGTATCTACCTCACCCCGCCCCCGTTATTTTGAAGCACATCCCAGACGCCATATGGATTTCATCTGTTAATAGTAAATGTGCTTTTGAGTACCATTTCCTAGAACTGCATCTACGCCTGCAGTGTCCGTCGTTTTAAAACTCCCAAAGGCTTTGTGTAAGACTGCAGTCAGAGTTAATGAGAACCCTGGGGAATGGGGAGATGTGATTGATCTGATTTTCTGTTTCACTGAATCATTAGCTAGAAAACCCTTGTTTAGGGAGTCGGCGGGGCGGGCGGTGGGGGGGGGGGAAGCTTTCTAAGATATGAGTCTACTTTCCTGCCTTAATGGGTTTGTACAGCAAACAATCTAATCTCTTGATCTAGCTTGTCTGATTGTCTTTCCCGCTGGTGTGACTAAGCGGGGCAGGTTGGTACCATTACAGGTTGGTGGAGAGGATGGGGCCATTCCCACCTGCCCCCTCACCTGTCACCTGTCTCACAGCCCGGATGCCAACCCGTTGGTGTCTCCTGAGTCCCCAGCCTAATTGACCATCCCCCCACACACCCTGGGATAGACAAAGCATCGATTTCGCACCTCCTCCCACCCCCAAAACTGCCAGAGGCTCACCCAACTTGCTCTCTTTCCTCCAGACTTTGATCAAGACACGTGTGCTGAAGGCTGAATTTGGACTCAGCTCAGAGGTCACACAGTGAGTTTATTGGAGACACAACAAAACCCGTCTTGATATGTAGGGATGGGGAGAAGCATGGGGTGCCCTAGAGGAGTGGCAGGGACCACCCCCGGGGTTGAAGGAGGGGGGTGGGGAGGGCCCCCCCCCCCCCCCCCCAAACCAGGACCCAGCAGGACAAGCGTCAGCCAAGCAGAGGGGGCAAGACCCGCAGGGAAGAGCATATTTCACGGGAAGAGACGCTGGTCAGATGTAACACCTACCTTCGGGTCAACCCTGCCCACCCTCTCTGGGGCTTTGGCTTGGCTCTTGCCTCTTCTGTCTTGAGCAGTTTTCTCTTTGTCCAGCTGACTCCTTCCTGTCTCCCCACGAGCATGTCAAGTCTCTCCCCTCGTAACCAGCCTGCCTTTTATCTCTCACCCTCCCCAGCCTAGGATGCACTTCAGGATACTCAGCATCTCCTCACATGATGCCACCACCTGCCCAGTCGCTCACACTGGAAATTCACACGGCCCCTTCCTTCTGCCCTATTCCCTCACTTCCCAACTCCGATCTACCAGGGAGTCCTGTCAGTGGGTTCCCCCAAATGATCAAGAATCCAACGACTTCTCCCCACCCTCAGCCCCCACCCTGACAGCGTAAAATTCCCAGGTTCCTCCTCTCCCTGCTTCTGCCTCAGTTCCCCACACAGCTAGCAGGATCCTTTTAAAGACACCTACCAACACTGGGCTTCCCGTGCTCAACCATCCAGTGGCTTCCTATAGCATTTAGAGAAAAATCCAGACTCTTCACCCTCTGGCTCCTCACTGCCTTGGGCAAGTGACAGCCCCTCTGGGCCCCCAAATCTTTCAGCTGTAAAATGTGGACACTAATTACACCAGCCCCACCGGATCGCTGTAAGGGTTCAATGTGCCAGTTTATAGGCAGCACCTCCAATGTCAGCCCTTTTTACTCTTCTTTCCTTCCTTCTTTTCTGACTTCTCCCCCAGCCCCTCTTCCCACGTTCCCTGTTTTTGTTAACGCATCACTGAGACCATCCTCCTTTTTAATACACTGGAGTCCTTTTGGTCCTTCTTTCCCTACATCATCCTGCCTTCCTCCTTTTCATCTGTCACATCCTTGTGCTATGAATTCTTTCTCCACAAAGTTGCTGACTGTGGTCCCAAGCCACACTGCAGGCACAGCTGGTACGGGTCAGAGTTGAGCTACTTCCCAACCAACCTCCCCAGCCCTGAAAATAGCAGGAAGATTTCCACCACCATCCCTTTTTCAAAAATCTTGAGGCCCCCTCCCAGCCCTCGAGAACTTATTCTTCAAGAACAAAGGCCCGCCCTTAGCCTGGCCTCCTGCTCGGCGTTAACACTGTCTCCCACAGCAGGTTCCAGGCACAGCGCACCCGCTGTGGTTATGCAGCTTCTCCACTCTGTGCCATCCTCCCCCCAACCCCACCCCGAAGGCCCAGTGCACACCTCTGTCTGTAGCCTGCCCTGGCCTGGGCCACCCCACTTTGGACCCCGAACTACCACTGGTGCTCCATTTCTGTCGCTGGCGTCACATGCCCCCTTCCACCTGGTGCAGTGAATGTCAAGACCGCATTCGCAACGTCAGCTCTTCCTAAAGACAGGAGCCGCATCTCGTTTTATCACTCATCTCCCCAAGCACGAAGATTTAGTGTCCTGAGCTTATGATCTAAGTTACATCTACCGTGACCTGCCAGGGACGATGCAACAACCCCACA